CGGGGGGGGGGGGGGCATCCTCTCTGGATCTCAGTGGTGTTGCTCTGAGGTCCAATTCTACTTAACGTCTTTCCAAGTGTCTGTGTGCTTTCTGTATTTCTTTAGCAACATGTCTATGTAGATCTTCTGTCCAATTTTTTATTGGGTAGTTCATTTAGTTATTAATGAATTTTGAGAGTTTTATTGGATATTCTTGATACAGGTCCTTTATCAGATATGTGATTTGCAGATATTTTCTCTCATTCTGTGACTTTTTTTTTTTTTCTAGCAGTGTCTTTTGGATGGCAGAAGTTCTTAATCTTTGCCCTTTTCTCTATTGTGTTTTTGGACTTTTTCTTTGTTGCTTTTTAAGGTATTTCTTCTACTTTGCCATTTAACTTTCACATTGATTATGGTATGTTTTGCAAGTAGAAGTGTTTTATGTCATCAGATATATTAACTTTTTCTTTTATTGAACCTGGATATCGAGTCATAGAAAGAATTTCCCCAAACTCAGTAAATTAGTCCATTTCTGTTGCTTATGACAGAAGACCTGAATCTGGGTAATTTGTAAAGAAATAAAATTTATTTCTTATACATTTGGAGGCAGTTAAGGGGGCACATCTGGTGAGGGCTTTTTTCTGGGTCTCCCTCACTCGTTCTCATAAGTCCATCAGAACCACGCACATGATAACTCATTACTCCATGAATGGATTAACCCATTCAGGAGGGTACAGTCCTAAAAATCCAATCACTTCTTAAAGGCCCCATCTTTCAAATATCATAATTGGATTTCCCACCCTCTTAACACTATTACAGTGGGGATCAAGTTTCTAACACAAGAACTTTTGAGGAACACATTTGACCCATAGCACTCAGCTTATGTATTTTCTTCTAGAATTTGTATAGTTTTATCTTATATGTTTAGATCCATAATCTATGTAGGTATTATTCAGGTGCAGAGGACATACAGATGGATCTAATTTTGATATTTTTCTAGAAATTTGTCCAGTTGTTCCAACACTATTCCTTGAAAAGACTACCTTTTCTGCAGTGGTTTGAGAGGCCCCTTCATCAGACAGCTTCTGGTCTTTTTATTCTGTCCTCTTAGTCTGCCTTACGGACTTGCTACCCTGTTCTAACTCTAGAACCTTTAATGCACCTTGTGGTATTTGATGGGGCTGGAATCCCTTGTTGATCTTGTTTAGGATTTTCCCACGTATACCTGCATGTTTATTTTTCTTTATGAACTTTAGAATCATCTTGTCCTGATCCAGAGAAAAATTGTATTATGGGGCTATGTTTATATATTAACGAGGGGAGAATTGGCATCTTTGTGAGGTTGAATTGCCCTATTCTAGAACAAGCGCTATCTTTCCTTTGGTCCAAGTGGAGTTTTGTGCCTTTTAAGTTTCTCATAGCAGCCCCACAGCAATGGTTAGGGGTCAGAGAGGCCTCATTGCCATAGCTGCAATGCCTGTTGCAGGGCAGAGGTTTCTGCAGGGCATGAGCCCTCCTCTGGGACACCTCCCAGCTCTGTGGTGCTCAGGTTCCAGCAGTAGCTGTGCAACGTCTCCTGGCATATCTCCACATGTCTCCTACCTGGAAATGTGAGAGGAACCGGAGAATCAAAATGGGCATACGGAGGCCCAGAGAGGCTGGTAAAGTCACCAGAAAGGTGAGGTGGAGCCCAGGTTGGGTCTCTGGCTGCAAGGTCAGAGCTCATTCCTACACATTCCCTGGTCATCCTCTGTACCTTGTTCCTCCAACTTCCTCCCCAAAAGGCTGTGAGGCCTCTTTGTTTTTGGTTCCTCAGTTAAATTACTAGTGTTTCTCAAATGTTCTGTCTCACTGGGAAGCTGCACCATCAACCAGAGCTGCACAGAGAGAGGACAGGTTGTTCATTCCATTGTCCCATCCCAGCTTCAGTGGATCTGTCCCAGGCAGTTTCAGCAAACAAAAATGTGTAGATACCCTCTGGTTAACCAGTGTATTTCATCTGTGTCCCAGGTTTCTACATGACCAAAATAGTTCAGCTTTCAAATTCTATCGAAAGAAAGTGTTTGAACTGTGTCCATCCATTTGTTTCACATCATCTCCACTCAACCTCCCCACGGGTGGCGATTCTCAGGAGAGCCCCGTGGACCATGTGGAAGGGGAAAGGGACTTGGAGGACGAGTTCCCTCAGCAGGAGGCTGAGCTTGGGAGCCCAGAGTTGATGCCTGAGGAGAACGAGGACGATGAGGATGAGGACGATGAGGATGAGGAGGGGAGAGAGGAGGCCTCTGCTCATGGAGGGACCTCCAGGCCAGGAGGAGGTGACGGCAAGTCTGAGGGCTCTGAGGGCAGCCCTCCTGACGACGGCCTCCCCGGGGACGACCTGGCTGGAATGCCCACCCTGTCACAGGCCTCTTCTGGCACCTGCTTCCCCCGGAAGAGGATCAGCAGCAAGTCACTGAAGGTCGGCATGATTCCGGCTCCCAAGAGGGTGTGTCTCATCCAGGAGCCAAAAGGTGAGTGTCACCCATCAGCACAGCTGTCCCAGCCGTGGGGTTGGCAGGCCGTGGAAGGCAGCAGAGACAGGTGGAGACATTGGCTGGCTGTTTTTGAAGAATTTGCTGATCCTTGGCTTTAGCTTAGCCCCAGGATTGGCCCTGTTACCCTTCCTGTCTCAGATTATACCCGCCAACCTTTCTGATGACCTCAGGACTCTGGTAGGACAGTACCTCCCCAAAATCCCACTAGGGTCCCAGGCAGAGAATTAGCAAGTACCCCCAGGGGTCTGCAGGTGGGTGTGCCCCAAAGTGGCCAGCACAGCATGGGGTTTTTAATTTATTTATTTTTTTCCCTTTTTGTCTTTTTTCGTGTCCGGCAACGGATCGCAACCCTCAGTGTCGCGCCCGCACCGGACCGGGGCCAGCAACGGGATCGCAACCCCCAGTGCTGCACCCGCACCTCGCTCAGTCAGTGAGCGGGAACCGGTCCGCATGTGGGATCCGAACCCTCGGCGGGAGCGCCGCCGCGCTCCCAAGCTGCGCACCGCAGCAGTGCGCCACCGGGCCGGCCCCAGCATGGGGTTTTTAATCTGAAGTAGTTCTAGCAGTTTTGACATCACTCCAGAATGTCAGTGTCACTCCCAGTTGGTCTGAAGTTGTCTCTCTGAGGAGATGCTTCTTCGTTAGTCTGGCTTCCAGTGCTCCGCGTGCTGCGGGTGTTTCCATTACTGCCTGTGTTCCGACAGGGAGCCTCGACCATGGAAGGGATGGGTCTAGGTCATCTTGAGGGTGGCCAGCCTTCTGAACCTCCAGAGGTCCAGGGTAGTGATAACGTGCTTTGTGTCTTGACAGTGAGGTGGGAAGACACTGGGGGAGGGGACAGTAGGCTCTGTTCTGTGCTATGCCTGCTGTGGCCATGGGAAGCAGTCTTCCTGCTCTCTTGTAGGGAGGATCGGGATTCTTGAGGTACAGTTTACCAGCAATGCAGTGCACCCTTTTCAAGTGGACAGTTTGAGCAGTTTTGGCAGATGTGCATAGCCAATAACCCACCAGTACAGCAGAGCTGAAGCCTGTTTTTCCCAGAAAGTACCTCTTGTCCCTTTGTGGTCCCCTCCCCAACCCAGCCCCAGCAACCACTGACTCTTTCCTGGCCCTGTGGTTCTGCCTTTTGTAGACTGTCAGTAAGTGGAATTGTGTTCCACATGGTCTTTTGGTGGACCAGCTATGGCCCAGGTTATCCTAGTGTCCCCCATGCCTGTCCAAAGGATCTCTGCATGGTCAGACCCAGGCGTGCTTGTGTGGAGCTGGTGCTGCAAAACCTGTGTGTGAGGTTGTTGCAGGAATGGTCCCCATCCTGTGACAGCGTAAAGAGTTATCTGTGTGTTCTGTCGTTGAGACAGTCACATTCACAGGCGACAGCATCTTTACAGTTTCTCCTGCTTTGGAAGGGTCCTCGTGGGTTGTGTTTGGAAACCTTGGTGTTGCAGTGGATTACTAACTGTTCCACTGTAACCCCTATGTCCTTCCGAACTTCTTGTAGATGTGACTAGAATGTCAGAATGCTTGTTACGTATGTCCTTCTTGGGGGAAAGCAGAATTCTTTGTTTGGAAGCTCTCAGTTCTTTGATCAGGTGGTTGATGAGACAAAACCAGATCTTCTGATCTCCCCTTCATCAAAAAAACAAAACAAAACATATATATATATATATATATAATAATGTGATTTGATGCTCTGTATGAGAAGCATGGCTGTTTTTTCCTGGAAAGTTCTGGGTGGACTTTAGTTCTTTACCAGTGGAATAGTTGCGGATAAACTGGAAGGGCACGGAGTTGCGAATAGTTCATTTGTTGAGTCAAAATATATTCCTGTGGGCCAGCCCGGTGGCACACTCGGTAGAGTGTGGCGCTTGGGAGTGCGGCGGCGCTCCCGCCGAGGGTTCGGATCCCATATAGAGACCGGTCCGCTCACTGGTTGAGCACAGTGCGGGTGCGACACCGAGGGTTGAGATCCCCGCCATTGTTGAAAGATGCGAAGTACCTTCAGGTGGGGCACCCTCTCGCCTCAGAGGTGCCATTAGCCAAATCTCTGCAACACCTTCAGTCTCTCTCTAAGAAATCTGGGGAAAGTGCATGTGTGCGCATGTGTATCTTTCTTTTGTCTTCCAGTTCATGAACCAGTTCGAATCGCCTATGACAGGCCTCGGGGTCGTCCCATGTCCAAAAAGAAGGTAAGTGTAACCACTTTTAAGTTCTCCCTCAAGATGTACTTGGTCAGAATTTGTTGGAGTTTTAAAGGACACTACACCTTGTGATTAAGCTGTACTCATACTTAGAACTGAGGTGTTAATGTACAAAACACAATGGAGTCTTTTCTCTTGGGAGACTTTGGGTTTTTTTGTTTTTGTTTTTGTAGGGCTTTTGTTTTTGTTTTTGTAGCCAGCTGGTTCTGGGATCTGAAGCCTTGACTTTGGTGTTACAAGGATGCGCTCTATCAGCACCACACTCTACCGAGTGAGCCACAGGCCGGCCCACAAGGATGCGCTCTAAACAACCGATCTAACTGGCCAGCCCTCAGGAGGCTTTTTAATACTATTGTTCCTTTATCTAAAGCGTAGGAGGGCAGTAATTAGTCCATTGAACAGATGGTTGAGGCCTGATGTGTGCAGTGGCATTTGAGAGGTGAGCAAGATAATGTCTTGGCCATTGAGAAGTTCAAGCTGCTAAAACTACATTTGCTTTATTAATGTTGGTATCTTCCACACAGAGGCAGTCCTAGCTCAGCAGGAGACCTCTGTGGCAGGCAGGGGTCAGGGAGTGAGGCGGACTGTAAACTGGTGTCAGCACTGCAGTCCCTCCGAGGGAGGCCCTCGGGGACCTGTAGCGGGGGTTTGGGCAGAAGACATGGCCACTCTGGTGGAGAGCAGCCTGTGGAATGGAGGCCAGGCACAGTGGGGGACCAGGAGGAGGCTTCGACTTAGGACAGTTTGGACTAGGGAGGGGTGAAGGTAGAGTTGGTGGGACTCACTGGTGTGCTGTGTGTGGGAGTCGGCCTGGGCAGGTAGCAGGACAGAGCTGCCATTCGCTGGCATTGGGGGCAGGTTGTTGGCAGGGAGTGGAAGTGTACTCCAGATGGCTGGGTGGTGGGGACAGGGGCACGTTGTGGGGGCAGGGGCACAACAGAGCTGCCATTCGCTGGCATTGGGGGCAGGTTGTTGGCAGGGAGTGGAAGTGTACTCCACATGGCTGGGTGGTGGGGACAGGGGCACGTTGTGGGGGCAGGGGCACATTGTGGGGGCAGGTGAGGTCACATGTGGAGAGACTGCAGGTCCTCAGTGGTCAGGAAGCTGGGCGAGGTCAGTGTTTTGGCATTGGGCAGTGGGGACAGTGAGGAAAGCCATGGTGGATCAGACCCCTTCTGAGCGCCCCGGTTGCCACAGGGAGAGGGACCTTCCTGTGTCCAAAGCTCTTGGTCCTGACTGGTGTGGGGGGTTTAAACTGGGCTGGCAGTTTAAGATGCCCATTTGTGTGGTATAGATGAGGGCGTAGCCCTGTGAGGGGCCACTGGGCCATGGAGCTGGGCACAGCTGGATTTGAGTTTGGCCTTGCTGCTTAGCAGTTCTGTGACCTTGGCATGTAACCCCAGGCCTTGGCTTTGTGTCTGTAAAGTGGGAGCTACCCTGCAGGTAGGAGGTACCTTGAGGATTAAACAGCCCGGTGCCTGGTGGGTATCCTTAGGTGAGGAGAGGGCCACGGTGACTGCCACTTGGAGGCCATGCCTGCAGCTCTTGTCTGTGCACACCTCTGTCCAGCCCCCCAGGGAACGGTATTCCTCTAGCTTTCCAGGAAAGTGGATATATTTATTGTCCAACACAAATGGAATGTTCACAAGTTTCTGTACAGGCAGAGCCAACCCCTGTCCCTCTTGCTGCACATGGGCAGCTTGCTCAGAGGCATGTAGGACTGCCGTTTGGGGGCCATGGCCAGCCTTTGCCCTGCTGTCTCCACCCTCTCTCCCAGGGTCCAGGCCACATGTGGCTCCCAGGAGGCCCTGACAAATGCCCCCTTTCTCATCTCAGCTGGCAGTTTCTGCCTCCTCTGTCCTCCAGGCCACTTCCTGGTGGCGAGGGGCCTCCCAGTGCCTGTGGCTCCTGCCTGGTATTCTCTGCAGAGATGTCTTTCCAGTGCTCTTTGTCCCCTCTTCCTGTCCCAGCTGGCAGCATAGCTCCTCCTTTCCTGCCTCCCGCCATTAACCGCCCTGCAGAGGGCGTTGTGTGCACACCACCTTGTGCGGGTGGCAAGGGGCTGCCTGTGTTAACTTATGCACACACACACATGCATGCATGCACATACGTATGCATGCACACATGTACACTTCTTTGGACCTCGGGGTGCCGCACTTCATGTGGATGAACTCCCAGCACCTTTCTTGGTTTCGTCCCTTTCTGGTGAGAACATGGGCGCCAAGGGGTCCAGACCCTCCTCGTGGGAGCACGTGCTCTCTCTGGCCACCAACCCACCCTCCCTCCTGACTTGAGGTCCTGTGCTCTTCTCCTCCCTTCTCCCTTTCCTCTCCTGCCCCCAGTGGAAGGGTGCTGGGTCCCCCAGGCCCAGCCTTTTCCACCTTGTCTCCTCTGAGGTCCTTTGTCCCCTTGGCTCTGACTCTTACCTCTGTTCCAGGGATGGCCTGAGTATTTCTCCACACAGCCTGACATTGGGGAAGCTCATTCCTAGGCACGTTGGTGCAGGTGGCAAGTGGTGACCTGTTGTTGGCTCTCAACTTGTGAGGCCTGCAGGACATGATGGGGCAGGTTGCTGAGCTGCAGAAGACAGGCCGTCCCCCAGGCCCTGTGCTCACATTGCTTAGCACATCCACTTTCCTCTGGTTCCACACCCAGGGTGGTCCAGCCCTTTCCTAGCTGCTCCCACAATTGTACCCAGTTCAGACCCTCTTGGCCACCCCAGCACCAGCCACCTTGATTTTTTTCAGGACCAACAAGGGAGGCCATATTGTGCAGATCCCACCTGGCTGCCTTCCTTCCTTCCTCCCTGCCTCACTCTCAAGAGCATGTGAGGCCCGCACAGTCTCCCCTGGTAGTTCATTAAATGTCTTAAAGATACACGGGGCAGGGTCCAGAACTGTCTGGCTAGATTCCCTCACACAGGGGGTGCTCATGAATATTCATGAGTGAGTAGAAATTTCTTTTGCCTAAGCTATGCAGGCTCCTCCCACAGAGGCCAGGCTTTTAACCTGTCTGTCCCCAGATCTCCATCCAGTGGCCCAGAGGGTGCCGAGCCTCCCCTCCACCACAGGATGTTCCCAGGCCCCTTCACCTGCTCTCAGTAAGGGCTGCTCTGTGCTAGGCATGAACCTCAGTGTCCAGGTAGAGCCCGGTCCCTGGGACAGAGAGACAGACAGGGAAGGGGGCCAGAGAGTGAATGAAGGGGGCAGGGGGGACAAGGTGGGCTCTGCTAGCTGATTCTCACCCACTGCCTGTCTGGCCCATCCCGCAGTACTGCCTCTAGGCCTGGGCCCTGGTGCATCCCTCTGACCATCGCAGGGCCACCCTTCTTTATCCAGGTCTCCACTTGGGCCTCTTCCTACTGGACCCGGGACCTGCCATCCCCTTATGCAGTTTTCCTCACAGTTTTAGCACATGGGTTGCAGTGGGACCTGTAAAGCAGGACCAAGAGCTGGATATCAGGTTCTGGCCTGTGGGACAATCTCAGGCCAGTGACTCTGACCTTTGGAAGTCCCACCCCACTTGGGGATGTTGCAGGGAACTGGGGAGGTGACTGGAGTTTGAACCTGAGCCTGTGGGGAGTCAGGAGAGCATTTTGGGTGGGGCCAGGCCCAGCCCAGGGTGACCCCCTGCTCCCAGCACTTCCCTGCACCTCATGAGCCCAGCTTCTTCTCTTTCCCCAGAAACCCAAGGACTTTGACTTCGCCCAGCAAAAGCTGACTGACAAGAACCTGGGTTTCCAGATGCTGCAGAAGATGGGCTGGAAGGAGGGCCATGGCCTGGGCTCTCGTGGGAAGGGCATCCGGGAGCCCGTCAGCGTGTACGCAGCAGGCACTCGTGGCCAGGGTGGGCAGGCGGGACTCTGGCCCTGAGTCCTCTGACCTGATTCTTGGATCCCTCAGGCGGAAGATGGCTGAAAGCTGGCAGTTGGGTTTTTTTAAACAAAAGGAGCCTTCAGATGAGAAGCTGATCATTTACATGTGTGCTTGGTAGACTATTTAACCAGCCTGTGGCTCTGGCCATCTCGGGCACGTTTATTATCATCCGGCATGAAAGCGGAGTAGTGTTTCTGGGTAGTTGCAGGCCTAGAACCACTTTTTTCTGGGAACACATAAGCCAGCCAGCCAGGGCAGGACAGCACAGACCCAGAGTGTGTCAGACCCTGCTAGTAACACGGAGTAGTGTTTCTGGGTAGTTGCAGGCCTAGAACCACTTTTTTCTGGGAACACATAAGCCGGCCAGCCAGGGCAGGACAGCACAGGCCCAGAGTGTGTCAGACCCTGCTAGTAACGTCCAGCTAACAGTTCCTTTCAAACTGAGCATAACCCCCACTTGGTAAGACATCCTGCTGCTCTCCCGCCCCATGAGTGAGTGCCCTTGTTTTCCATTGTGACCCAGGTCTCGGTTTTCCCCTGCTGCAGATGTCTCTCTTGTGTCCCGCGTCCTGTCCTGGTGGCCGGGCGCTGGGCTCAGGTGCACAGCTCACTCTCCATTTCCTCCTCAGGGGAACTTCCTCGGAAGGGGAGGGGCTGGGCGCCGACGGGCAGGAGCACAAAGAAGACACATTTGACGTGTTCCGACAGCGGATGATGCAGATGTACAGACACAAACGGGCCAGCAAATAGGTACGTGCAGAGCCAGGGCACGAGCACTCTACCCACGCCACCATCCTGGTGTGCCAGCCATTGCCCCCAGAACTTGATGTGCCCCACTCCCCTGAAAACAAACATGAAGATGCCACCAAAAAATCACAAGAACCATAAAAGTCACAAAATGGAAACCAAAGGGTCTTTGGATGTGGATGTGCCCCATTTCTTACCTTCCAGGTGTGCTGAAGGAGCGAGCCTCACACTCGCAAGCGCAGCGGCCTCACGGGCCTCTCCTGGCCGCTCCCGTGGAAACAGTCCACCTCCAGTTCCTCTCTTGCTCAAGTTTCTCTCTCAGATGCCGCCACCTACCATGTAACGTGACCAGTAGACAGACTGTTCCCTAGTCAGGAGTGGCCCTGCCGTTCATGCATGTGTACGGGCAAGTGTGGAAGCTACACCTCAGAGGATGGCAGTTGGCCATGTCCCTTTCTGAGGGTCTTCAAATCCTTTTTCTTCTGCAGAGCCTGAAGCCTATAAATGTCCTCATCTTTCCACTCTTTTTAGTTGCCCTTTTCACCCATAATTTTTGAACAAAATCGTTCTCTTCCTGAATAGATCAGAACCACTGATGAGAAAGATAAGCCCTGAAGCAGCAATGCCTCCTAAAACATCACCCCCGCCCTGGATCTGCCTGGAGCAGTACCCGAGCATGGCCTGGTGTGTACACAAAAACAGACGTCTCTGCAGTCCCTGGGGCTGAGGTCTCGCTGGCTTTTCTTTCTCTTAAAGAAAAACAGAATGCACATTTTCAGTCTGCTTTTGCCTTTCCTCTCTCTTCCACGTGCTTTGAGCAGGAGGTCCCCTCCACGTCTGTCTTGGTTCCTCTTCAGAAGGTGGTGCTGCCCCCAGAAAGCACCTGGGCCTGTTGGTGCTGAGGAAGTAGCTCCTGCGGCTGGTTCTCCAGTCTGTGGGGTCATTGCTCTCCAGAAGTGCTCTGTTAGCAGACAAGATGCAGAAATGATTGCAGATTATGTTTTTTCATTGTTCTTCAGAATTTATACTGGGGATACAAATTGCTAATTGCCAAGTCTGCACTCTTGCACCAAAGCACTGCAGCTCCCTGAACGTGGAGATACTTGACTTGGTGAATGTGGTATTAATGGTGTCTCATCTCTTCAATACATCTCTTGGGATTAATGAAATTTTAGCAACAGTATGATATATAGCTCTTTTCAGTGGGGAGTAACCATGTTTAAACAGATGAACTTTTCCCATATTTGCATGTTTCTTTAGAATCCACAACGAAAGCAAATGACAGTTCAATTTTTTTTAAGCCACACATGGAGTCTCCACTACAAAGCGGTGGGGGTTATAAATGCTCCGAGACTCTTCCCTTTTTTGCATGTGCGGCAGTGACAAGACTTGTCATCAGACAGCCTTTGTGAAGAGCAGGAAGGCTGTTCCTGGTGGGGCTCCGCAGCTGTTGGCTCTTTGAGGGCGTGTGATTGCACCTTGAGGACTCCCCAGCTGCTTCTTTCTATGTGCAGAATCCTCAGGCTGCACGGGAATGTCAGCCCTTCTTCGTAAAGTAGTAGTACTCAAGTTTTGAGTAAGTGGTAAAATCCGGAAATCTTGGGATCCTTCTGGCAGTGCAAGGTGGAGGGACACCACAGTGGTTAGGGTGTCAGAGAATTGAGCAACTTAGCGGGAATGCCGCTTTTATTAGCTGTCAAGAAATCCTTGCTTTCTTAAAGCCACAGACCTCCTGGGCTGTGGTACCAGCTCCTCAGGTTCTGTCTGGTCTGTCCAGCCCCACTTCATCTCCCAGGGCCTGCTTCTCTTCATTCAGATGCAGCCCCTGGGGCTCTGCTTGCTTCTGGTTGATTCTGTTGCTTTGGCAACTAGCAGATCTTTATGGCCAAGGGGGTGCTTGAGGTTCCAGCACTAAGGGTGGGTCTCAGCCCAACCCTCAAGCCAGCCTGTGGGGGTGGGGATGAAACTGGTTTGGGGGAACCACAGGTTCATCTTCTGCTCCTTTCTTTCCTGACCCTTCCAACAGCTTCCATGTTGCCCGTGGGTCAGGTGAACGGATGTTACTCAGGATGGAACCTCGGTCTGTCATGGCCTCTCAGGGTACCCATTGGCCCTGAGTGGAGTGCATATCCTCAGCACAGAGCTTTTTCTCTCCAGCTCAGCTCTGACCATCGTGTGCACCTTGTCCTGGCATGTTCATTCTTGACTTTCTTCATTTATATTTACTACAAAGTAAAACACTTGAGGAATTCCTGGTGTGTGGGCACTGACCCCCACAACCTCCTGCCTCTCCTCCTGGGGACATCCCTGTTTGAGCTGAGGTTGCTTCTATGAGCCTTTGGCAGATGTCAAAGGGAGCAGCTACTTCTTAAGCCTACAGGGTCCCATAAACACTCAAGGGACCCTTTGATTGTGGGTTCAACATTGAGGCAGTGAAGGTGTCCCGGAGAGCTGGGGAGCATGGGGTGTGTCTTTGTGCCAGATGGGGACGAGATGCTGCTGGCCCTCCATGTCCTTCCCCCCACCCCACCCTCCCACCCTTCTTTAACCAAGGCTGCCCTTGCTCTCCAGCAAAGACCGCTCTGCAGCGAACGTTGCGTGCAAGCGTGACATGCAGTTGCACGGCCTTGTCAAAGTCACAGTGTCTTTTCTGTCATTTTAGTTCCAGGGTCTCTTCCGCGAGGACGACAGGCATCCGGAAAGTGCTAACTCACCACTTTGGGTGCTTACTGTCTCTGGCTTGTTTCCATCACTGGAAATCACATAGAGAGTTTTAGTGGTTTTGGTCCTTGGTAAAACCTAGAAGATGTTTGTGATGTTACAAATGAAAGTTTTTGTTTGTTTAAGAAATTGTGAATGTTGTTAATCATTTAGCAGTTGCAATAAATGTAGAGGAAACCCAGTTTTCCATGGTCTCCACTGATGTGTTTTTAGAATCAGACCAGTCAGCAGCGCATGGTAGATGGCAGCATGGACCTAGAATCAGACGATCTGCCACCTCCACGGTGCCTGGCACTCTTCCTCCAGCCTCTCATGACTGGCTCACCCCAGCTGGGGGCCTAGAGGATGCCAGGGAGCTGGTAGTGATCCCAGCCAAGCACAGTGGGGAGGGCAGTTCCAGGGGTTGGGGGGGAAGGACTACTGAGTACAGAAACCTGCCTTTCAGAGGGTGTCAGTAGGGGGGAAGCCCTACTCCAGCTGCCCACAACTCACCTACCCCCCAAGGCTGCCAGAGTGAAACCAAGGCCATCTGGGCCTCCCCGTGACTAGGGAGTGGCCTCTGGGGCCTCCTCAAAGATCCCTGCTGTCCCCATGTGCTGCTGGGCCTGCGTCTGCTACCTCCAGCAACAGCCCCTGGGCCCTCCAGATGAGGAGCAAGCCCGGCATCCATGGGACTGCAGGGGCCTCCACCTGAGCACACGTGATGAGGAGGGGCGGGGCTGCAGGGAGGAGGCTGGTGCTGTGGGCAGGTCAGGGAGACAGTTAGAGACAGACCCCTTAGGGAGCTGACACAGGACGCCAAGCCTCCCTCCACTCCACTGTGTCCTGGAGGACACTTAGGAGTGGCAGTGACCCTTTTGACCCATAATGGGATCTGTTGCCACCAAAGACCCTCCCAAATGTTTGCCTTCATCCTAGGGTGCCTGACCTCCAGTGTCAGTGCCACTCCCTGTGAAGCTCACCTGGGATGAGCAACAGTTGGAAATTTGATCTCCAGCAGCCCCCTATTTCCTGTTACTACCACCCTGGAGCTGGTGACAGTGGCTTAGGGGACACTCAGGGTGAGGGTCTCCAGCCACTGTGACTTTGACCTCAGGCAGGTCACTAGACCTCAGGCCTCAGTTTCCCTTCTGCAGATGGAAGGATTTCTTTCCATTTGGAAGGTAGAATTTCCCCTGTTACCTTGCAGTTTGTGACTAACTGGAACCTAAATGTGCCTACCTCAGCAGGGTGGGCCCTTCCCCTTCTTTCTACCCCACTTCCCAAGGGCCCCAGAAGACGCTCCAGTCACAAAAGCAAGGTGTGGTTTTAAATCAGGCCTTTGCATGTGCACATAGGCATGTTGAAGCAACACATGAGCACATTTTCTTCAGAAAAGATGAAATAAACCAAAACCCAGATACATGCAGAGTGAAGCACATAGATTTCCCCTCCTTTCCCCCTCAAGTTTCTATAAAATGACAAGATACACCATGGGCACCCCTCAGAGACATGCACTCTCGCGCAGCAGGAGGGCTCAGCAGTCTCCATGTGAGTAAAACTCTCAAGTACGGGCTGTAAATAAGTCACACCTGGCCAAAGTCACACGGTACCAGAGTGTGGTCTGTGGAAAAATAACAGGTTTCCTTCCAGTGATACTCTGTGTAGACGATTGTATATACAAGCATATTTTAGATGTAACCCTCAAAAATCCAAATTATACTTCTCTGGGCCGGCCCGTGGCTCACTCGGGAGAGTGCAGTGCTGATAACACCAAGGCCCCGGGTTCGGACCCCATATAGGGATGGCCGGTTCGCTCACCGGCTGAGCGTGGTGCTGACAACACCAAGTCGAGGGTTAAGATCCCCTTACTGGTAATCTTTTAAAAAAAAAAACATTATACTTCTCTGCACATTCTATTCTGCCTGTTGCTTTTCTTTTTTCCACTTAAAAAATTTNTTGCATGTGCGGCAGTGACAAGACTTGTCATCAGACAGCCTTTGTGAAGAGCAGGAAGGCTGTTCCTGGTGGGGCTCCGCAGCTGTTGGCTCTTTGAGGGCGTGTGATTGCACCTTGAGGACTCCCCAGCTGCTTCTTTCTATGTGCAGAATCCTCAGGCTGCACGGGAATGTCAGCCCTTCTTCGTAAAGTAGTAGTACTCAAGTTTTGAGTAAGTGGTAAAATCCGGAAATCTTGGGATCCTTCTGGCAGTGCAAGGTGGAGGGACACCACAGTGGTTAGGGTGTCAGAGAATTGAGCAACTTAGCGGGAATGCCGCTTTTATTAGCTGTCAAGAAATCCTTGCTTTCTTAAAGCCACAGACCTCCTGGGCTGTGGTACCAGCTCCTCAGGTTCTGTCTGGTCTGTCCAGCCCCACTTCATCTCCCAGGGCCTGCTTCTCTTCATTCAGATGCAGCCCCTGGGGCTCTGCTTGCTTCTGGTTGATTCTGTTGCTTTGGCAACTAGCAGATCTTTATGGCCAAGGGGGTGCTTGAGGTTCCAGCACTAAGGGTGGGTCTCAGCCCAACCCTCAAGCCAGCCTGTGGGGGTGGGGATGAAACTGGTTTGGGGGAACCACAGGTTCATCTTCTGCTCCTTTCTTTCCTGACCCTTCCAACAGCTTCCATGTTGCCCGTGGGTCAGGTGAACGGATGTTACTCAGGATGGAACCTCGGTCTGTCATGGCCTCTCAGGGTACCCATTGGCCCTGAGTGGAGTGCATATCCTCAGCACAGAGCTTTTTCTCTCCAGCTCAGCTCTGACCATCGTGTGCACCTTGTCCTGGCATGTTCATTCTTGACTTTCTTCATTTATATTTACTACAAAGTAAAACACTTGAGGAATTCCTGGTGTGTGGGCACTGACCCCCAC